TTGATTCCTTGATGTCAGCTTGTAGTTTTTGTCTCTATCCTTCATAACAATTTTTTCCAAATTATTTGCTCCTTAATGTTAATAGCATGAAAACATATAGCCTAAATTGTGTAAAAACAAAAAGCTTTTTTATTAAAAAAGAAGAATTATTCCAAAAGGTGCTGTGATAGCTGACATCAAGTAGTATATGTTTACGCTTTATAATATTAGTATAGGTTTGAAAGATGTAGGATGTTTTTGTCGCAGGTTGCGGTTTCGACAGCACGTCGCTGCGGCTGGACGAGCAGCTGGCGGCGCTGGAGTCGCGGCTGGAGCGGCCGCCCGTGCCCGCCGTGAGTTACCTGCCCGCGCCCGCGCCGCCCGCCGCGCCCGCCCCCGCCGACACGCCCCGGCACAACTACTACTGACCCCGCCCCTTACACTAACCCCACCCTTTACACTGACTCCGCCCCTTTACACTGAGACGCCCCCTTTTTATATTACAAGGTGGCAAACCACTTGAAATCGCCGAGAAAGCGAAGTGATCGCTCTCCATATACATCCGCAATTGCAGATGTATTGCCTACCTCTAATCAACGGAAATGGAGGCGCACATAAAGGATATTTCCCCTTCCTATGCGTCTACACCGTCAAATTCACTTTTCCTTCCCATCCTTTCCATATAAGAAAATGTACAGTCGCGGAAATCCGCGGTGTTTCACTTTAGCAAAATTGCCTTGTCCATGGTAACGAGACAGTCCACCTCTTAGAAATTACAAATTAGATAGTGAGTGCAAATGAAGGAAAGATAATAAAAAAATAGCCTTGTATCACTAACCGACGGTTTTTTATACAGATACATTTATAAGCTGCATTGCATTGGTGTTTGTTCCGCGTTTTGTTTTAAAATGTTTAAACGATTGTGGCTTTTAAGGTGGAACACTGTCAGTTTTCCTGACTGTACTTATTTGTGTGTATGATTCGACTTGTTTTTGGAACAAAAACTATCTTTTTAATTATTTCAATCATATCTTGTATACTCGATCTAAAATTTGCGTTATTTTTCTAAAAAAATAGCTTTTTTTATTTTTGTTAACTATTTGCTTTAGTAAAACGTTTTGATCTAAATTATTTGCTTGTATTTTTTTTTACGATAAAATGTACGATTTCTTATAATTCAGATTTCACTGTATACATTCCGTTTCTGATATTTCAATGTAACATTCCTTCAACAACTGAGCTTTCGTGTTTGTGTGATTTTGTGTGAAGTGATTATTCTAACAAGCTTTCTAACAATTCGCCTTTATGTCGAAATATTGTCACAACTGAATTATAAATGGATTTATTGTTTCTGAAATGATATTTATGAGATATCTTTTGTAAAATTTTTCTTATAGTATTTTACACGATTAATACAAGGATAAATATTTTATTACTAAAAAGTAACGAAATATAAAATTTAACGGCAAATAGGTCTAAAGAATGTGATAAAGTATATGTTATTCATTCAAAATTTTATGTATTTTTTGAATTTGGACTAATTGACGAAATTTAATGATATTTAATGTGCCTTAATGTGGTGTACTATGATATTACAGGTGATAATATACATTCGGTATATAGTTTGTATACATTTGGTATACATTTAGTATACATTCGGTATACAGTTTGTATACATTCGGTATACCTTTGGTATATATTAAGTATCGGTGCCAATAACATTGAGTAACGGAATCTCGCGAATACTCCACTAGTCCTAGCAACTAATTACTTGAAGTGACCTTTTGTTAATCATTAAAAAACAGAATATAATGTTGGTCACTACAGTAATACCAAAGTTGGGATAAAAATATGTTTGAAATTCCTTATGTATTTGACACTGTATATAATGATTTGATTAGGCGTAAGTTTTTAATAACGTATTTATTTTCTTTTTAATATTTGGAAACTAAGAAAAGCGTGGAATATACATCTTTGTATTTTGTTAACTATATTTGTATATTACAGGCAGCTTTACCTCTATACAGTGCCTTTTTTATCTTTTATACGAAAGGTAAACTTAAGGTAATGTTGTATACAATATGTATTCTTCACATTTCGTATAAATATTATAATTCTGAGTCTTTCTGGTTAAAGATAAGATGTTTTAATGCAATGTATACAAAATGGTTATTTAAATAAATATAATTTTGTAATCGATATATTTTCTAGAAAGGGATGCATGTTTAATAAATAAAAAAATGATGTTTTGTTTGTTGTAGTTTTAATAGTTTCCTAACACGTCAGCTTTTTGCGTCGAAAATAATAAATAAAATATTTAACTGTTTAAAAAATGCAGGCTGCATTTAGAGTGTTGTTTCTTTTAACATATGCTTTGTTTGGAGTGTTTAGTTGAATAACGATTACACTGCTCCAATAAGAGATGGAAAAAGTTATTTGCGAGAAATGTAATTAGTGAATTAAATGAACAATGGAGAACTCGTATTGGAGTAGCTAAACAAAATATGAACGAAGCGATTCCCGATTTAGGTAAGTACATTTAATTGCTTTGGTTTGTGTGAGATTTCCCTAACAAATACATATAATATGAGTTTTGGTAGTCTACAAATATATTAGCTATGGATAAAGTTACTTAGATATATTCGATGCTTCCTTAGCGCGGGCTGTGCTGTTTCCCGGGGCTGGGCGGAGTCGGTGTGGGAGGTCGTGCGGGTGGTGCGCGAGGC